GCATTCCTGTGACTGCTGAGCCTTGCGCTCTTTGGGTATTTGGAGGGTCTGGTAAAGCTGTTCCACTCTGGAATGCATCCACCAGGTTGATGGGAGCAACTAGAAAATTTGTATCAGATTACCTTACATCTGAAATATCAGCTGCAAAACTGTGTTCAGATAGGCATACTAACTTGATAATTTGGTTTTATTTTCAGAGGCTGATTTTTATCTGTGTGTTCAGTAGCTTCCTATAAACTATTTCTAAAGGAACGATTCTTTCATTCTTTCCCAGAATGACGCTGGAGTTGCTCACTGAGTCACAGCTCTAAAGGATCTTTAGAATCAATTTGAACAGTTCATTGCTGCTAGCAGGAAGAGGTCCCAGGTCTACTCTTACCTGTGCATTGCGTATCATACATTCTGCTGTGCTCTGGTGCTTGTTTGACCCTCCATTAGCTCTTTTTTTTTTTTTTTTAACTTGGTATGGTAGAAAACAGGTTCACCAGAAAGAACTTTGTACTGTTTTGCTGTTGAGTTGCTTGATAGAAAGGTCTGAGGTGCACCAGAGTTGGTGTGAAGGAGGGAGCGTAGAAAGTTAGAGAAGGCAAAGGAAAGCAGTGAGACTTTCTGTTTGATGGCAGTAAGCAGTTAGATCTGCTCAGCTGCCAGTGAAACTTCAGCCTGAATGTCTGTCTTAGCAACAGGTAGTTTGAACGGGATGGTTCTGGTAACAAATTAGATCCTGACTGAAGCAGACTTTTAAGTCCGTTTTGAGAATGTCCGCCCCATTTCACTCAAGCTTTTTTAGCATACCTGCAGTTGCAAAATCCCGGTCAGTGTAAGAACCTTGCAAGATCATCTTCTAAAAAATATAGTAATGAGAAGACAGTAATGCTGGTGGTAAAGTATTTTGTTCCTGTTGTCTTTTCCTCAAGATTTAGTGGAGATTTCAGTATTTGATAGAGGTTAACACTTGCTCTGCAGGTATGTCTAAGCTTATTTTCAGGAATTCGAAAACCTGTCTTTAATGGGAGTTTCATCTGTTCCAAGGATCAACATTTCCTCCTCCTCTTCCTCCTTCTAATCAAGGTCTTAAAGTCAGAGATCAGTTTTCTAAATTTGTTTATGTAGCCATCCCCAAAAGTGCAGTGGTGTCCCAGATTCTCTCATATCTCTACAAGTAAGGAAAAAGCATGCGTATATATTTGCTTGAAAAAATTATGCAAATTGAATTTTCCCTTTCATATAATTAATCATCCTGAAAGTGTATCACTGATGAATTGTGCAGTATGGTTGTGTTCTTGGATATTCTAAATTAATTCAAAGTGCATTCTTGTCCAAATCTCATATGGTTTCTCACACCAGGAATTTGAATTTTTATCGGATCTTTTCAAACCCCTCTCTACTTGTAGTTTATCCCTCTTAAACTTGTAGTTTAAATTTTCATTCCTGGTAATTGTAATCATAGTGCGTAGTGCATTCTCTTATGTATAAAGAAATAGCTGGAACTAATTTGAAATTTTTTTAACTCTGAAATTGAACTCCTGAAGCAACTTGCAAAAAATTGCCCTGTGCAAAAATTATTCTAAAATATCATATCAAAGCCTTATAAAAGCGCTCCTGAAACACATGAAAAGACACAGGATTTAAAAAAAAAAAAAAAAGGGGGGGGGGGGGACAGGGGAGGTTGAATGGACCCAGGGTTTTTTGAGTTTTTTTGTTTAACCCCAAACTTCCATGGAAAATGAAGACACAAATTTAAGAATCAGCAGACCATAAAGCATTGAGGCAAGATGACTTTCCAGGTAAGAAATACTTCTTGCATTATTTCCTGAGAGTAATTAACTTACTTTCTTTTACACAGGAGCAACTTCATATATGGCTCATACTTAAGTAAAGAAGAAATTGCTTTCTCTGACCCTACTCCTGATGGAAAACTCTTTGCAACGCAGTACTGTGGCACCGGCCAATTCCTAGTATATAACTTCCTCAACGGACAGCATCACGCCTAAAATGGAATTCCTTCAGGAGCAGTTACTGGAGACTTCTGCCAAAACGTACTGAATTGGTACAGACCTTAAGCAGAAGCCAGGGCCATTTTTGTTACAGTGAACTCAGGACTGGTAACAACCAAAAGGTTGTACTATTTTATTAAAATTGTAAACAATGCAGTAATAGGCTAACTTTGTTTTTTTTAAAAAAAAAGATATTTTATTAACTTTTACAAAAGTTTGATTGTATTTTATCTAGTTAGTCATGTTTACATGCAGCAGAAAATTGTTCATAGTGGACTGTAAACTAATGCAAAGACTGTAGTCTCGCTGATGAGTACATGCTGAAGTTCTTAATGTGGTGATATACCAGTGCTTCTTGGTACTGTAAATTATTTGGTCTCCTACCACCAGTTCTAGAAGCAGGGTAAGGCAGTTAAAAGATTGCTTGTTTGACAGAATTCAAGACTATACTCAATTACATCAATGCAAGAAACATTACAGTGCAGTAGTTATGGTAATAATCTTCACAGATTCTGTGGTTGCTTCTAGTATGCATTATATGCATTACTAGGGTGCAAGAGTAACTTGGGTGCCAGCAACATAGGAAACTAGCTGCCTTTTCCCCCCCCCCCCCCCCCCCCCCAAATTCATAGTAGACTAAAAGGTGGAATAAACTCGCCTAAGGAACTGGTGTAGGCTTTGTTTTTCTTCAAGTACTGTACTGAGTATATACCTTTGTTAGTGGACTTCACTTTGATACTTGTCACTCCTTCATAAAGCTCTCCTCTTTTAAAGGGTTTGTATGTTGAAAAAACTGCTGTGGCCTTTCTTGATCTGTACATAATGTAGATAGATTAAAAATAAAATACTTGATAGCTTTTTTAAGGTTACTCTGTATTGATACTATGTGTGAATTAATATTTAGTATGTTTTTATACTTTTGCATGTGAAATACTACCTTAGTGGCTAAAGGCACTGTGTGTTTTGAAGCAGTCGTTGGAGAACACAGTGATACTGCCCTCTTACCTGCTGCGGTAGGTGAAAATTCCCTTTTTGACAATTGATATATTAGCTTCATCCACCAAGGATCGATTTCCCTAGTAGCTTTGGATCAATACAATTGCTGTCAGGTTTACAGTAAGAAGAGAGCTGGTGATTTCATCCTTGAATAATATCTTAAAACACTAATGTGAGAGTGGAAAGAATTTTTTTAATTTTTTTGATTTGTTTTAATTTTGGAACTAATATGCAGTTAGTATACGCTACTTTATATTGCCCTGCACCCTATCCCTGTGCCCTTAACCTTGGTCTAGAGCTGAAACAAAGAACGAACACTGCATCTGAAACAAACAGTGCTAGACTGCTGAACTGTACCACTACACCTATTACATGCTTGCCAGAGCAATACTTAAATGTATCCAGATCAGCTCTGCTGGCAGTTAAGGTGACTAAAAGTTTTGTTATTTGCAACTCGTTTACCTCCTACCCATTGTCTGTTTAAACAAAGCTCCTGTCTCAGGAAGAAGTACCCAGCTTGAAAAAATCTATAATACTGGCACTGTACTAAATTAACTTCTTTGTAAAGGCAACTAATGGCACTACTTTAGCAGTATCAGATGTGTTTTTTCAGGAGAAAGCATTTTTGTGTGAAGAGCTGCAGAAACACTTTGCCCTGTCCATCCATCAAAGTAACCGTTGAAAAAGAGGCAGTCTTAAATGGTAACTTAATATATTCAAATTTAATGAAAGCACATTATAAACATACCATAGCCACAGCTGCAGACAATTTCAGTTCATAAACAATAACATGAGGTAGACTGACTAGTGAAGCTAAATTCACCAAGTTTTTGGTTAAGAAAACTTTACACTAGGAAAGCAACATTTTTAACCCTCTTCCAAAAGTCTCAAAAAGCAATTACATAAGTTAAGCAAAAAGCATCTGAATATGATTTTTTTTTTTTTAATCTTAGTTTACATTCAAATTTAACCTGTGAATAGGCAGTAACATCTACAGGTGAAAATATAACGCTGGCCAATGCAATACATTCATGAGAATGGCCTTGAGGGTGAAGCTTAAAATCAAAATGGAACGGCAGTAATCTAGTTGTCAAATAAATGGTCTCCTTTCCAGGAATTCCCAGAAGCAAGCTAAAACTTCTTTGAACCACACAGGCCTACAACTTTTGAGCTTTTTTTTTTTTGATATACTTTCAAAACTCCTTTCTTCTGCACTGGAATGAGTTATAGAAGTTGGTTTACAATTATTTGGTAACGAAAGGCAAATATGCTGATTTTCTGATTTGCTTTTCAGTCTTCTGGACAATTTTGCACTGCTTCACCAGAGGGCTAACTCATCATAGTAGTCTCAGCATCTGGAATTTTAAAAACTTAGTGCAAACATCAAATACACAGACAAAAAGGAAACCATTTTTGAATACTTCATACCTGGAACTTTTACACCACACTAAAACTCTGGGTAAGCCTTAAGCCCTTCTGGCAAAACCAGAACTACTGGAATACATTCAGGTGTATAGCAAAAGCTTCAAGAAGCATCTTTTATATCCCTTCTTCTGCCAAGTGTTAAGACTATATAAGGCAGGGTACGGCTGAAGGAAAATAAAAAATAAATCTAAAGAAGTAGGTTGTTCATTTGAGATTTGCTAAATTTACAGCATCAGAATTAAGCTACATTAACAAAGACATCTGCAAACCATTTTCCTGTAGCCTTAGTCTAATATATTATGTATTTATTTCATTTGTAAACATTTCTTCACAAGATAAAAAAGGTTGCTCAATTAACACTATGTGTAAAAAAAAAAAAAAAAAAATGCAGCTTTGGCAGGTCCTTCTCTGACGAGTTGCAGGTCAGTTAAAGAGATATGTTGATTTCATTGCATTTTTCAAGGAGTAAATTAATATTCCTGACTCAATCTTAAACACATGCTGCATTTTTCTTTTTGGTAAGGGGATCGTGATGAGCAGGAAGGTTTTCTTTATTTTACTAACATACAGAAACATCAATTGGGTAACCAGTGTTAACTGCACAAGCAAAACAATACCATTCTGATTTAACCCTGAAAACCAAATTTTGCTGCACCAAGTGCATTTTGGAACGACATAACAAGAATAAGCAACATGTTGTAGTATGTTTATAAGAACAACGCCTGACTAGCGCTACAACCAATATTTACAGAAGTTAATCAAAATAAAAGGGCCAACAGTGTTAGGTGATGCATTCAAAAAGATGATGTTTGTTTCTGGACAAGAGTCTTCTGAGCAGTTCCAGCTCCTGAGGAATTCTCCCCGACGTGCCCTTAGGCATCATAAAATCTGTCCTGTTTCACTTAGACTCATTTATGATGTCTCTCAAACCCAGCTCAAGCAGTGCTGCCCTCCTGCACACTTTGATATTTTTCCTGATTCACATCTGAATTGAAAGAAAAGGTTTTTTTCTAATCTTAGGTCTGCAGCCAACTGGAGTTGAGTGGAAAAGGACACCTAGAGTAAATTACATAAAGCCCACCACAAAGGCATTTGACATGCAGTAGACCTCATTTCCGTACCCAAAGGAGGATGAACCATAAATTTTAAAAACTTAGACAAGTTAAAACTGAAGGTATGTTGCTGGCAAGCTATTCTGAACTCTTAACTGAAGAGAGAGCATCTAGAAGAAGGCCTGTTTGCTGAGCGGGCAATTCACTTTGTCCCTGGAGCCAAGGAGGAGGTAACTAATGGGGCCAAAATTAGGCTGCTATGAGAACCTGCGTGCACAGTGCCTGCCATGCATTTACTGATTTGTTCAGGTTGAAGTAGTAAACTTTGAACTCCTGTGGAAATTTTGCCAAAGACAGTTTCAATACATACACAACTATAAATTTTAAACTAACACTGCACAGAGAATAAGACTATTCCTTTTAATACAAATAGCTAAGTTATATTGTAGTTTCAAACCCCTGAGTATTGCTGTACCAAAGTACAGATCTGAAGAGAAACAGTGGGCTCTCCTCCACATATCTTCAATAAATTCCATGTGCTATGTTGAGTCTCATACAACACATTCAAGCTAGTGGACGCTAAAAGCAGCTTCTTCCCCTAGCTCAGCTGAATATTTAACAAAACAAAAAAAAAATTCTTCAACCAAATTATGTCCTCTTCCTATATCCTACAACTTGGTTGGCTGTGTGATTAGTGTCATCGGTTGTGACTGATGTGAAAATACCTTGAATCCATGATCCTTTAAATTATAACTGATGATGTGATAATTTTATACTTAAGAATAAAGCCTACTTTAGAATTTTGGGAATCCTTTAGAGTAGTCTAGATAAATATTGGTTGCACTTTGCTCCACAGTGATTGTACTTTTTAAAAAAAAAAAAGTTTTTTTTCTTTTGTCATCGGTGTCTTATCAAAGCTTATATATGGCGTCCAGTAAGAAAATAGAGTGGTTTGTCATCACTGCTGTTAGCAGTTTGAAACTCGTCTCGGAGGCGGAACTGCCACTCATCCTCCAGCTCCAAGCGGACGATTGTTTGCCGTAATGAGCTTCTGTCTTGACATATAACGCAGAGGGTGGCACCTTCAATTGAAAAACACATCAGAGTGCTACGTTACAAGAACAAGTCTATTCTCCTGGTTTATCTTCCAAAGATGTTTGAAAGACAAAACTCTGCCACTAGGTAGGAACATTTCTCTTTTTAAAAAAAAAAAAAAAA